AGGCTAGTCGGAGAAAATTTTGTTATGAGGCAGGGAGAATTAGACTAGACGTGTTAAAAAAAATAAATAAAAAAATTTATTTCTGACAATACACTAACACTTATGCAGATACTCGGCTCTTCTCACAAAATTCCACCATCTTGCACCCTGTTATTCTTTGGTGCCGGAAAGGCTTTTGATCGACTCGAGTGGAAATATTTGTGGAGAGTTCTAAAATGATTTAAATTTGGGGGGAAATTTTATAGCTATGATTCAAACATCATATTGAAATCCAACAGCAAGAATGTACATGGGAGGAGCATTCTCCGAGCTTTTCCACATAGGAAGAGGGAGTCATGATTTAATTTCTGTATTGAGCCGCTGGCACAATTAATTAGAAATTGTCCACAAGTATCACCCATTACAGTTGGATCATCAAGTCTTTCCCTATCATTATATGCCGATAACACTTATATTTATATGGCGAATGTCCAACAGTCACTTCCTCATGTCTCAGAAAAAATGCAACCGTTTTGGTATCTTTCAGGATATAAGGTTAACTATTCCAAAACAGCTCTGATGCTAATTAATACTGACAAGCACACTACTTTGCCACTACAGATACAAACGATGAAGGAAGTTACATATTTAGTCTTTCAAATTTGTAATGATTCATCACTCATAGCTACAAGCAACTATTTATCTGTTTTAAAGAACATTAAATAAGATACCAATAGGTGGGCACATCTCCCAGCACCAGTCACAACTAGAATAGCAGTAGTTAAAATGAATATATCACCCAGAATAAAGTTCTATGATTCCATTGCGGACCCCTACTGGTTATTGGTGCAAATTAGGCTCTACACTAAGGAAATATATCTGGAATGGCAAAGCGCTCAGCTGTTAAATGGTTAGTACTACAGATGAATAGGTCTAATGGTGAATGTGCCCTACCTAATTTCAAGTTTTATCATCGGGCCTTTATGTTGAGGGGATTTTCTTATTGGCTGGTCGAAAGCAAAAAAATCCTCAAGGAAAATTATCGAAGAAGAGTTAATCGAACATATAGAATGAAGGACTTTTTGTTTCACGGAATTTCAACTAAGACATGTAACTTGAATTATGGCCCACTATTGACATATATGTTAATGATATTTCAAGCTGTGAAGAAATATTTAAAATGTACACAACGTTGGTATAAATTGTCACCTTTCTGGAACAATAGGCTGTTTTTATCAGGTGGGAAGCCATTATCACACCGAGACAGGAATAGTAAAGGAATTAAAGTCCTACGGGACATTAAGGATGGGAGTCAATACCGAGTTTCCAAGAATTTGTTTCTAAATATAATATTGTTCTATTCTTTTACGGGACAAGATCTGCATGTAAGGGAGGGAGGAAGGGTGGGGGGAGGCTGTGGATAGGGAAGGATGGAGGGGGAGGAAGGTTAAAACTCAATAATTTTGTACACCAAAGTGTCATTGTTTAAGCTTTAATTTTAATAATCTTAATTTAAAAAAAATACAGATTCTTAAAGATTTTATTTTACTTTGAGTCTACTCTTGACAAATGTTCTACTTTTAGATCTTTACTGCTCCCTGGAGGTGGACTCCTACGGCTACTTTGTCAACAAAGCCAAGACACGTGTGTACAGGGACTCCACAGTGCCCAGCTGGAATGAGGTGCGACTCTGTTAACAAGTATAGAATTTCTATTAAGATTAACTTCACATGTGACATATTTTTGTTTTGTTTGTTTTTTTCTTGGAAGGAGTTTGAGATCGAGCTGGAGGGCTCTCAGACTCTAAGGCTGCTGTGCTACGAGAAGTGCTGCCCCAAAACCAAACAGAGCAAAGAGGAGGGAGAGATTACAGATAAGATTGTGGCCAAAGGACAAATTAAGGTACTGAAAGTGATGCAAGTCACAGAGAAGGCTTCCTGTGGCTTACTTGAAATATAACTAAATATGCTGATTGCATAATCTTCTTGCAATTAGAGTCCAAACAGGGTTAGATTCCAACATCCTTATAATCATAGTATATTAACCTAAAAAATGAATAAGAATCAGTATACAGTATGAATATTTTCACATTTGTTTGCATTAAAACTATATAACCTATTGGGAATTTTTATTATAGACAGTGCAAAAACAGTGCACAACAAGTGCACAAGCTGTGCAAAATGGAAAATGATAAAATTCATTCAAGCTGTAATTTTGTTTTACAAATAAAAAAAAATAAAAATCCAAAGTGTGATATTTGTGTTCAGCCCCCATGAGCTGATGTTTTGTAGAACAGCTTCAAGTCTTTTGGATTTTTTTCCTTGAACATGTTTGCACACCAAGCCCAAATTCAATGAAAGATTGAAGCACATGTTTGCGTATTTTTAGATTCTTAAGACAGATTCTAGTTCATATCATGGTTTCGACTTGGACTCGCCTACTCTAAGTCAGAGCATGCTTGTTTCTAAGCCATTTAATTTAAAGTCTGGCGCTATATGATGATCTCGGCCTCAGTCTCAAGTCTTTATCAGCCTTACAGTTTTTTTTTGCTGTAATTACCTTAATCCTTTCCTTTTTTATCTGTATCTCACCCAAAGCAGATGTGTTTTAGTTGTTGACGTGTCTCTATTCCTGTCTGACTCATGGCATTCCTTTAAAATTGCTGCGTAGGACCAACCAAAATAGACCGGGGGTCTACCTCTGTCAGAGCTATGCAAGCACATTTGCAGAGAATCTTGTGTGGTCTGACCAGCCCATGAATTTCATTAAGATGTACAGCAATAGCCATGCCTTTATACAAAATGATTTTCTAGCAGATAGGACGTGTGTCTGCTGTAACGTGGCTTTTAGACCAACATCCACTTTGCTGTGGTAATGGTAAACAACCCTTGGAGAGTGGAGTTAACACAAAACAAAACAAAGGGAATATAGAGTTGGTGTTCCTGTGAAAGGCTGCAGGAATCCTAATGTTCTGCATGTATGTCATTTTTGCTGAAGGTTATTTTTTATTAAAAATGAACTTTAAAGATTAATTGATAATTGAAGCAAGTTTTTTTCACGGAATCTCCTAAGCGATTGAGTTATTGACGGCATAATTTTTAGCATTTGGTTTTAAGAAAAAAGAAAGTTGACAGAGCTTTAGGTTAATCTTTTACAATGATTAAAGAGGATCTTCTAAAGCCACATGAATCTCATGTAACACTAGGTTGCCAGTTGATAAAAATTTTTTATGTGAGAAATTAGCTTTTGTCTTAGTCTAATGGTTGGTTACTCTATTTTGGTGTCTTTGTTAGCTAATCCCATCATTTTACTGCTGTAGAAGTAAGTCATGAGGGTGTTTCTGGGTCAGTAAAGCTCGACCTGACGATTGTGTGTTGTGACAGCGAGGGATTAGACTTTGGGCTAACCAAATGTAGCTGTTGGCACTGCTCTGCTGCTTGACACCAGGAGTGAGACGCTGAATGCTTGTTGGCTTCTTCCTCTATCCTTAATATATCTAGAGTTCCTTGTGAAAGTATACATACCTGGTAAACATTTTCATGTTTTTTTATCTTAACAACCACAAGGTTGGACTAGCAACACCATTAACTGGATACTGTTTGACCTCTAGAGTCAAAGACAAATTTAAACAGAACCTTAAACATAAACATAATATTTTATATAATTTACATTAACTTTAGTTCAACATAAATTGGAATAAATCTGTTCTTTAAATCAGTCTGGTAAGGGATCAGAACCATTTCTCAGGATTTTGGCCTACATTCAACAACAGTGAATGTTATCCTTAAACATAAAAATTTTTAATATCTTTTTTCAGGAGTAACTGTAATGCCATTTTTTTTTTTCAAATGCCAACTTTTACGTCATATAAGAAACCAGACCATCATTCAATTTTTTAGGCCCCACCTGCAGGAGTTAAGGTAAAAATAAATAGGGCAAAACACATTGTTGAACCACTGTAGAAGAGAAATGGCCAACTGGTGATACTGGTCTAAAGTGAACCAGCAGATCTACCTCAAAATGCCTATAAAAAAATAAAAATGTTTGGGTGTTGTATAATAGAGCATTTTAATCAAGCTGAGATACTCTGGCATTACTTAAATTGGCCTTTTTAAGTATGCAAACCCTTAAATAACACTGCAAAAAAATGGGGCCTGTTTGGTTTGAATGGCTTTCCTACGTCCTGCATTGATTTATCTTTAGAACCACTTTTTGTAAATTAGTCTTACAGATTTTTGTCAGAAAGTCATATGTGTTCATGATTTAACAAGTTTAAATGCAAAAAAGGAGGAAAAAATCTGATAAAGGGGGAGAGAAAAGTTTATTTTTCACAGCCGTTATTTTTCACAGCAGTTTAAGACCTATGAGGGGCAATTCAGATAATCTGCCTCTTTAAAAATTACCCTTCATAGTTTTAAACTTTGTAGAAGCCTTTTAAAGCCTTGTAATGAAGAGCTTGTCTCATGTGTGGCTAAAAGTCTTTTTTAAGAGGACTTGTTTGAGTCTCATTGGTTTTTATCTTTGTTCCAAATTAATTATTTCACTGTTAGATTTAATTCGTGAAACAAACCGATTCTTTCTGGAAGAGCATTTTGCTTTTTAATTATGTATTTAAAAGTTTAAAAGAGCGCTCTTCCTAACCACTATTATTGTGGGGTTTATTTTAATATGAACGGGCCAAAAACAGGATTCTGATTTGAAAAGAGATCCTGGTGTAAGATGAAAGTGTGCTGAGATCTGCCTTGGAGGAAAACAAAAGATTGCAATCACTCTTATTTCATTCTTATAGCCTGGACTTTAGAGAATACTTCAGAGCTTTAGTAGATGTGGCACGTGCCCTTGTGTGACAGGGCAGTCTTACTAATACCTATTTGGTCTAAGAGGATCGTTTTTGGTTACCTTACTGTAGATGCTGCCTGCCAGAATGTTTATAGCAGCAGGTGAGAGCACGTTGGTAGAAGGGTAGGAGGGGATTCTCAGGGTTAATCCTACAAATCCATTTGGGAAGTAGAACAACACAGAAGGCAAGTGTTAGTGGCCAGGCTGCCTGGCTTTTTAGCATTAGGGAAAATGCAAGAGTCTAATGGCTTGTTAAGAGTCGAGGAACATAATCAAGATTCGTCAACACGGAGTCAAGGGGTCGTTATTCTGGGATTCCAATGTTTCTACTTCTATTACTGGTGCGGTATAGAGACTAGCAGTATTTCATAGGGCTTTGCGGCTTTCTTGGTATTGTTTATTTGGAGAGACAAACATAAAACTACTGCCAGATGAGATGGGTGAGAACAGCCTTAATGAGGAGGAAAGTACGATTTGGGCCATCAGCGGGTTTGACAAAGAGGGAGACCCGGTTGTAAGGAGGCCCCTGGGTTCAGGAGCACGTCTTTGGGAAAGGGTCCGCAACAGTCTGCTCAAACCAAAGGTAAAGAGTTAGTAAAAGGGTGAATTACTGTCTAGGATGACCAACGGTTCTCTTAAAGTCTTGGAGTTTTGATTCAACCTGTTTTAGTTCCACCAACATTGTGTTATATTTCCTGGGCCTGATTAACTCTTAATCAGAACAATTTACTGCCTCCAGTTATTTTATTCTGACTTTTGATTTAAAAAAAAAAGCTGTTATATAAGAAAATAGGTTATTTTCTTTAAAAAAAAAAAAAGGATTATCAGAGATTCAAATGTTTCTTGGGTGAAAGAATATCTGCCACATTGCTCAGGACCAGAGCTTAGCAATGAGACATGATGCTCTCTCATTACTCATCAGGTCTGATGACTGATTCTTCCGGTTTCTCATCACTTACCCCCGATTCCACATACTCCCCCCCCCAGATTCCACATACCCTGTCAGCGCTCCACCCCCCTCACGTATGTCCTGCGGAGCACTTGTCTGTCATGTTAATCAATGAGTACTGTTCCACATACACCGCTACTCCTCCGCACGTCACCGTCCACGTACGTCCTCTCCATCCGTCAACGACAAAATACGGAGCCAAGTTATTTTTTGCTCCAGTCCGGCCAGGTCAAGATCCGCTATTACCATCGCACCAAACAGGAAAAAGAACGGCGAGAAGATCCGGTTTGTCAAATTAAAATATAGTAACAACAGATTGGTAACTACAAATTAGAGCATAATTCTTATATATTATTTTTTTTTTAAACTACCGGTAACACTGTTTATTTAAATGATTGGATGCAAACTGTTGGTTATTCACCAACCAGGATGCAGATTTCTCATCTTCATCAAAATATTAATTTTATACCGAGTGGCTTAAAAGTTTAATCAAATCCAGTCAAAAAAAAACTTCTTATTGCAGGAACGGATGATGAGATGCTGAGTTTGGGAGTAGAGAACAAAGTTCCTTAAAAAAAAAAAAAAAAACAGTTTCGAATGATCCTAGCTATCCCCGTTACAAAACTCTACAACAAAAATAAAATGTTTGGGCAGGAACTGCACATATTTTGATGCTGATTTATTTTATTTTTTTTAATGCTTCATTTTAAATTGAGCGTTAAAAAGTTAAATGCCACAAAACAACAATGATAATTGCTTAAGCCTCTTATTTAATTATCTAAAACATACATAAAACTAAGACTGATAAAACTGAAAAGACTAAAGAATCCCTTCTGGTCCTTTTGATACCATAGTTGAGCAGCTCTGTTTGATTCGAACTTGTTTTTTTGATGATGTAGTACTTAATATTTTGAGTTTATTGGTCAGACGGCATGCAGATGGAGCAGTTGTTGGTGCGCTCGACCATGTACGGAGGCCTTAGTCCTAGACGCGGCCGACCCGAATCCTACTGTCAGAAAAATGAGCTACTAGTGCCGTAAAAAAAAAAAATAAATAAATAAAAAAGTTATTCGCCAAAGAATGAAGGCCTGATCTATCACAACTATTTTTTTGGGGGGGGGCTAAGATTTACTGGTCCAAGTTGGCCGAATTGTATATGATCAAGTTTAGCTCAACACAGACATCAGTTCATCACTTTTTATTCGATATGAACTCATAATTGATAAAATACCTCTCTTTGTAATACTACTAGCTGCAAACATTTAGTGTGTCATATTTTCATTTGTTGTGAAATGTCATTATTTCACAAGCATGATTCACAGCTTGAATTCTGTGGGCCTTTAAATTAACGTCAACTCCCAGAAGAGATGACAAATAAATCACGTTTTTTTCAAAGCAGTGTGTGTCATTTGTTCTTTTATTTTAACATTTTTGTGAGAAAAAAACAACAGATTTCGTAGGTGAAATTTGTGAGATTAGATTTTTTTCAGCCACGTGCCTAAACCTGTTTTTTTTTTTATCATAGACATAATTTAAAATGAGCAGAACATAGAAAGCATCAATAAATCAGATTTCTTTGTATTTTTCTAGCTGGATCCTCAAACTCTACAGAATAAAGATTGGCAGAGAACAGTCATTGCCATGAACGGGGTAAGTTTTATTCTCCAGTTTGCACCTGATGCACCTGTCACTACAATACTGCAGATGACTTTGAATGTGACCAATGTTAGGAAAACTACGATAAGAATAGATCATTTTATTTATGATTAGAGCAGATGATCAAAGTCTAACGGTTACCCATGATTAAGTCGACATAGTAAGGGGGAAGTGGTGCTTTGATTCTGCTCTTAATAACATATATCTTTCTTAAATAGAACAAACGATCTATGATAAAATAATTTATGCATACATTAGAGCAGCAATGTTGCTGCTCTAATGTATGCATGAGGAGTAACTAACAACTAGCAAATGCAAGGTAAATTAAAATAGGGTGTATTACTATAAAATATCCATCTGTCCATCCATTTTCTAACACGCTTATCCCAAGTGGGGTCACGAGGGGTGCTGGTGCCTATCTCTAGCTATCTACGGGCGAGAGGCGGGGTACACCCTGGACAGGTCGCCAGTCCATCGCAATATTACTATAAAATATGGTCATGCTAATGTCCTGTAGTCTGAATGGGGTATAGCAGATATGATTTCAGGCTGATTGCAGGATATATATGTAAATAATGTTCCCAAAATTTCATCAGTTGCTTTCTCTGACCTTTTGTAGATTGAGGTGAAGCTGTCAATGAAATTTACCAGTAGGGAGTTCAGCTTAAAGCGAATGCCATCACGGAAGCAGTCTGGTGTCTTTGGAGTAAAAATTCAAGTTGTCACAAAGTAAGTTGCTTGTATTTTGTTCGGTATTAAGCTTTTTAAATTAATCTTCCACATATCAGTGTCTCTGTATGTACGGAATGAAAGATTCTGTATTGAAAAGGTTTGTCTGCCTCATACAGTGTCTTGGTTTTCCACATCTCTGTTGTCTTTAGGCGGGAACGCTCCAAAGTTCCACTAATTGTTCGGCAGTGTGTGGAGGAGATTGAGAGACGTGGGATGGATGAAGTGGGGATCTACAGAGTGTCTGGTGTTGCCACTGACATCCAGGCCTTAAAGGCTGCTTTTGACTCGAGTTTGTTTGATTTCAATTTGTTCCTTTAGTGCTCTGTCATGGAAACGTATGACATGATAAGAGGAAGAAGTCTAAGCATTTTAACACACCAGGTCACTCTGCTGCTTGTCTTGTTCTGTCTACAGACAATAGGGACGTATCGGTGATGATGAGGGAGATGGACGTAAATGCAATTGCTGGAACTCTGAAGCTGTATTTCCGTGAGCTGCCAGAGCCTCTCTTCACCGATGAGTTATATCCAAACTTTGCTGGAGGCATCGGTCAGTCTTCCTGGTTTTATCCTTTCAGTATTGTCATCAGCCATTCTTTAAGTTTTTGTTCTTATTGCTGCAAATCTGTCTTTGTCTTTCAGCTCTCTCTGACAGTGTGGCAAAGGAGAGCTGCATGCTCAACCTGCTGCTATCTCTGCCAGAGCCAAACCTGGTGACTTTTCTCTTTCTACTAGACCACTTAAAAAGGTAAAAAGATGCTTTGTTGGATGAAGTTCTAAACAATGTGTCTTGATGTTTCTGTGTACCTGTATTTAAGAGACCAGGCACCAGTATGAGATTTTTAAATTAAATCTAGAAAAAAAGACCTTTAGCAAAGTATGCAGGACTAATCTTTCTCCAAATCATCAGTTTGTTTTTTAAATTAAAATTGTACTACTTTAGGGTCAGCTATCAAAACACAGTTAAAATATGTTTTAGGAGATGGCTTCTGGTGATAGAGCTAAGCAGACGTAGTTGAGAGAGCTCCAAGGAAATGTGATGAGAATTGTTATGTTTTGATACTTACTATTACAGAGTCTTCTATTATTACACTGGCTTCATTCGGTGTGCTTTTTTTTTTTTTTTTTTTGCGGGTCACCAATTATTTTATCTGACTTTTGCAACGTTTTGAACTTCATCAGTGATGACTGCTGCTAATGGCCAGGTCAGTGCTACTTTAAATGGGTTAGGATTCCCTTTGATGAGGGCGTGGAGGGTTCCCAAGCTTCTAGCTGACTAAGTGAATGGCTACAGTATACTGTGGATCTCAGCTTGCTTTGAACCAGCCATAGATGGAGCCCACAGAGTCCTGCATCCTAAAACAAAGAGTGGTGAGGCACCACGACCAGTGATTGCACGTCTGTTATATCAGAGGGATACGTTGGTGAAGATTCTCATTCATCCAGGCCATCATTTGACAAAAGTAAAAAAAAATAAAAATAATCCACTGGAATTTGTTTCCAAGTTTGAAGACATTTCGATTCCCATCCAGGAAGCTTTGTCAATTCAAATAGTCAAGAATAGTGATGAGTTCAAGGCTTTATAGAGCTGACCAAAGCAAAGCCTTGTTTTGGCTTAGAAACATGCAAATTGAACCTGACGAGCGGGTTCGCCACTTGGAATGGGGGTCGTTTGGTTTCTTAGTAGCCTGTAATACGCGAAACCTGAAATTTGAGAGATAGACAGGATTCCGGAGAGTGAGTCTAGAGAAAGGGCATCCATACTGTTAGCATATCAATTGAGACAGACCTCCACATCCAATTCATTTCCAAAAATAACTACTCCACCAGGTGTAGTGCTGACCCCTTATAAATAAATAATATATTTAAAGACTTCTATAGTACTCTCTACTCATCCCAACATAAAACTGACCCTCAGGCATTGCCATCTGTCTTTCATCAAATAAGAAGACAAATGCCTACTATTACTTCTTTTCAAAAGAAGTCCATTGAGCAGACTCTCCAAGGAGATGAAATTATTAAGTAAATCCATACTACTGCAATCTGGGAAGTCTCCTGGTCCCGACGAACTGCCTATAGAATTTTATAAGAAAAATAAATGTTATAGTTAATTTTATAAGAACTTCTCCACCCAAATTCTGCCTCTTCGATTAAACATGTTTTATTGATTCTTATTGATGAAACACTGACCCCCATCTCTCAGACAAGCCTCCATTTTCTTAATACTGAAGAAAAATAAAGATCCAGATCACTGCTCTTCGTACCGTCCTATATCACTTCTAAACGCAGACATCAAAGGGGAACGCCGTTTTTTGTTTTTTTTTACATTGGGCCCTTGATTTTACGTTATTACATCATGTTCTACTTCCCCATATGAGTTTTTGTGTTGTGACAGGCAGCGCGGGCCACAGGCGGCTACGCTCTACCCCTTATATTCATTCAGCTAGCTAATCTGAATCGTTCAATTCCATTTCGAGAGCGAGATCATTTGTGGTAATAGCACTAGACATCTTCGAGGCATGTGAGTAAAACTAGCAGCAGTTCAGCGGACAGGATGAATGAAAGGTAGCCGGCGTGCCTGGATGACGTCACACACACCCGCTTTGTTTAAAAAAAATATAAATATAAAAAATATAACCGTGGATGTCTGGGGGACAGTGATTCGCCTACATGTTATGAATGCTGGCGTACCATAAATGATAAATTATGAACAATTTAGTTTGTGCTTTCAAGTCATTGTCCATAAGAAGACGTAACTTGGATATAACCTAACTGAATATCTTCAGAACAGCTCTAAATGACACAAAACTCATATGGTTGAGTAGAACATGATATAATAACGTAAAATCAAGTCCCAGTGTAAGATTCTTGCTAAGGCCCTGTCTCTTAGGTTAGAACTTGTTCTTACCTTTATAATGCATCCAAATCAAACTGGTTTTATCAAAAACAGACACACTTTTTTTAATATTCTATGTCTTTATAATATTATTTATGACAATAATTTTCATTGTCCTGAGGTAGTCATATCTATGGATGCTGAGAAGGCCTTCAACAGATCGTTTTACCTTTCTTTCTAACTTTGGCTTTGGCGAGGGCTTTCTTGCGTCTGTGTGGCTTCTATACACCTCTCCCCTATCTTCAGTGCCCACAAACGGTATTTTTTCTGAATGCTTAGCCCTACACAGGGGAACCCTCCTTTTTGTTGTGGCAATTGAACCTCTGGCTATTACATTACGCACGCAGAAGGCTTTTAAGGGCATTGTCCGCTATGGTGTGTAACAGAAAGTGTCTTTATATGAAGATGATCTCCTTTTATACGTTTCCAATCCAATTGAGTCTATGCCACATATACTTGAAACTTTAACATCTTTTGGGGCTATATCAGGATATTAACTCAATCTTGATTGGTTAACTTGAGGTGTTAACCAAACCACCTCTTCTAATTTACTGTCTTGCCTACCCTTTAAAGTGGCGAAAAATGGTTTCAAATACCTGGGCATAGCCATCTCTCCCAAGTTCAATAAGAAAAACTGTGAAGCCCTTCTTTCACGTGTGAAAGATGATCTGAGCCCCTCACTTCAGATGGTAGAATAAACTCTGTAAAAATGAATGTCCTTCCTAAATTTCTCTATTTATTTCCGTGTATCCCATTGTTATCTCAATCTATTTTCCACCGCTTGGATGTGGCAATTTCACAGTTCATTTGGAACAAAAGGGTCCCAAGTCTACGTAAGATGTAATCACTTGGGATTTAAAACAACATCTCATGGTCCCCTGTTTCCCCCCTCTATGAAGCCTTGTGCTTTCAGGCTATGGTACCAGAAGGGCCTAACCATAGGAAGGGATTTGTTTGTAGATGGTAGATTTGCCCTTACACAAGTACTTACAAGTACGACATTATAGAAAGGATTTTCCAACAATGCCTGCAGATATCTCAATTAATAGGATTTTTAAGCTTCCCCTCTTGATCAAAGGCCTTGTACCCACTCTGTATAGAGATATACACTCTCTGTGTTCTTCTCCAAACCAGTCTTTTAACCCTCTGGTCCCAGTATCTGGGGCCAGATCGGACACTGGCCTGGGGGTCTATTTTTGGCCATGTTCACTCATCTTCAGTGTGTGCTAGGCACGGGGTAACTCAATGTACAGTTATACACAGTGCATACTGGACGAAGGCTAGAGTTTTTCGTGTTCACCCCAATACTGACCCTATTTGTGACAGATGTCCCCCGCACCGTGGGACTCTGGTCCATATGTTTTGGACATGTCCATCCTTATATGCATACTGGTGTTCTGTAGTCTCTTCCGTCTCAGATGTGCTGCAGATACAATTAGAGCCATGCCCAATTGTGGCCTTGTTTGGAGCCCTTCCTAGCACAGTCAAAATATCCAGTTCTAAATCAGACTTTAGAGCATTTCTTTTTCTCTTAGCTAGGAGGTTAACTTTGATTTACTGGAAGGCTAGACATCCTCCCTCACACTCCTTATGAATAAGAGATGTTCTGCTGTTCTCAAAGCTGGAAAAGATAAGACGCTTGAAGAAGGGTGCTGTGTCAAAATTTGATAAAGTTTGACAGTCATTTCTCACTTATCTTAAATTCCCTGAACCTACAACCCCCAGAGGCTTCTTAATTTAGAAATGGCAACGTAGTAGCCTGTAGCCTAATTTCTCCCTTTCTTTATCCCTTACTCATTTGTTTTTGACCTAAATCTGTATCCCCCAACGAAAATTCTTTTTTTTTTCATTTTTATTTTTGTTTTTTTTGTTTTTGGTTTATTGTCTTGGTTAATTAACATTAGCACAGCCTAAGCTCAGGGTGGGAGGGGAGGGTGTGGGTGTTTGTAATTGTTTTCCTTTATTAATGCTTTTCTTATTTTTATACTACACTGATCAGTCTATCACTGCATGCATCTGATTTATACTTTAAATTATTGCGTGGTCTTTGTTAGTGCAGAAACTAAAATAAACCTTGGGGAAAAAAAGATGTTTTAGGGGGTCCAGGGTTTGGCTTCATTTTAATTTAAACAATTTAGTTTCTAATTTCAATTCCCAGTTGGAACCAGGTTCCTATCAATTAGTTTCTTTTTAAGGAATAGTCCTAGAAGTTAACATGTGTATGCTGGCTGACCAGAGCTGGTCTGGATCAGGATTTTAGCTTGGAATATTTCATAGGGTGTACACCTTTGTGTATCATATCTTTAGGTTTTTGACAGCATAGGGATGTCCAAAATTTTTGAAATTTGGACTCAGAAATTTGGAATTAGAAATTTTCTTGCAATTAGCTATTTCTTGCATTTTGAGGTAGAATGCAGATGACTTTTTGTCTTTGTTACAACACTACTTTTGTTCTGATTAAGGGAAATATGTGTGCTTGAGTAGAGGTGTAAATTTGATAAGACATGAGATCATTTTTAGGTACAATATTATGTTTCATATGTTAATTCAAGCAATCATAAAGTGTAATGGTACATTCACACCGCAATTTGAGCATCTAATAGCGACTGCTGCTTCTGTTTTAATGCTTACCCATATTGAGATCAAATGATTGCAGGAGCATCTTTGACGCTTCTGAAGGGCATCCAGTAAGGTGTGTCCAGATGCGTCTGATGCTCCTGCTGCTCGGGTGTTCAGTGGCAGAGAGTGGCTTTGCTATATTTGATGCTTGTGAAGCACGTCATGCGCGTCAGATGTTGAGAGAGCATGAGGCACTGTTTCAGATGCATTAAGTTGCAGTGCTCCTGCTGCTCTAGAAGCCCTGCAGGACCTGTTGATGCACTTTGATGCCATAAAGTTTACATCTAAAGCAGCTGCTTCTGCTGCCCAATTGCGTCCTGTGTCAACATAGCATAATGCCCCTGCATTTGCTGCTTTTGAAATTTTGAACATTTGAGATAAGCTTCCGGGGGAAAATAAGGGCATACCAAAGCTGTGCATCTCAAAAACAGGGTGTACAATTTGTCACTTTTTTTAAGCAAAGGGAGTACAATGTAGGCCTGTAGACATTGCTAGCTAAAAGCCTGGTCTGGATGAATTAATCAGAACTTCTTACTGGAATTAAAATTTATATTTTTATTTCATTAACTACAAATTATCAGAGGGACATTTTCATCAAGTTTATAGATATTCAACTTATGAACTCTGTCAATTTTATGTCATTTTGTTTCACAATTTCAAAAAAGTTAAAATGGTTAAAAAAAACAACTACTGAAGACGTTTCACTTCCCATCCAGAAGGCTTTTTCAATTAGCGTTTAATTCCAAACTTTTTAAGATATCCCAACAAAGCCTTGTTGTGGCTTAGAAAACATGCAAATTGAACCAGGAAAACAGGTCCACCCCTCAGTAATTGGGGAGTCATTGAGGTCTTTGTCAGCCGCAATGCCCGATACTGGCCTATGCCTCTGAAAATGGGAGTCATCAGGGCCATTGTTGTCCTGGCTGACCAGGCGAGATATTTTGGTTCCCTGCATGGCCATGAGGATTAAGATGATAGCAGGAAGGAATCAAATCTATCACTGCGTTGTAGGTTTTTGAGAACTGAAACCTGATCCACCCCCTCTGTTTAAAGGTTGGTTTTTCTCTCTCAACATAAATGGCCTTCTTCGCATCCCTTTCAAACCACCTTTTATTTGTCCAAAATGTGAACATTCTGGTCCTCAAAAGAATGTCCTTTGTCCATAAGGTGTAGATGTACCGCCTAGTCTTGTCTGGAAGAGGTAGCTCTCGAAACAACCTCTCTCTGTGGAGAGGTTGTTTGGTTTCTCCAATATAAAGATCAGAGCATTCCTTACTGCAGGAACTGGATACACCACTCCGCTCACCTTAGGTCTGGGGGTTTTGTCTTTAGGTTTGAAATGTACTAGGATTTTGATCTTGGAGAAAATCCTCTTGAGTTTTTCAGAGAATCCAGCAACATATGGGATGGCGAATTCTTTATTTGTTTAATCTTCTCACCCTTACGTTCTACTGCTTGTCTTTTGGATTTCCTTCCAAACGGCCAGTTTGGGTAACCTGATTCTGACTGCTGTGGTGGCTCAGTGTTGTTCACTGCACCTCAATTCCAATCAGTTAGACTTGGGTATAATACTTCTGGACTTTTTTTTGTCCATGGGGAACTGGTTATTCTGCCTAATAATGTCCAAGAATCCTTTAAACACATCCTGCATCTGGATTAAGATGTGGATCGTCACCAAAATTTAATGGATTGGGACTGAAGTGAACCTTTGGTAAAAATCTATTCATAACTTTTCAAGTTATCCTGTACTCAGACGGTTGGACAGACAAACAAACACAAAAATTCCCCTAAAAACAACCTCATTGGCGAAGGTAACCATGAATAAAAACTTGTTTTTATACAGTTAAAACATTATGTAAAAGTGCAACTAATGCAGGGGAAATGAATCCAGTAGGGATAAATACCTAAGCACTGCAATGTCACAGGGCATCAAAGAAGAGTTGCTTTCATCACAAGTCCAGAGGCATCATGTCGGTTGTGCACAGTTTTTGCCCAATTTTATCATGTTGCAAGCGTAGCTCTGAGTCAGCTGGTTGCTTCTTTAATCAGAGATATGCAGTACTTTCAGATGCTGCTGCACACATACATGGAGCTGTGCAATTTTTTTCCTTGTTGGTATTCTGTGGCCTCTTCTTTCATTCAAACTGGAATCCAAAACACAAAAATTTGAAAGATTTCAGGTAAATTGTGGTCTTAGTTCTGGTTCCAATCCATTCTCAGCACCAAACCCAAGTAAGGACACAAGAAAAGTAAACTCTTCTGTAAAAGAATATAATTTCTTTACTAAAACCTAATGCTCATAAGCAGTTTCCAAAATACTGTTTTTGATGTGTCAGTAAAAATATCCTACCTGGTCTGTTTTTAAGATATTTTGTGAGGAAAACTGTCCATTCATGGTTTACAGCTGTAGAACGGCACATGAAGGTACCTCACAACTAAATGTCATCATCTTTATTTGGTTGTAACTTCCTGTTTTAATTGCTCTGGCTTTATAGGTAATGTTTTGTCAGTAATATGGGTTCTAAAATCCACTTTAAAAGGCAATATAAATTCTTACTGTAATTCACTATGTTCCATATTTTGAATTTTCTGATGATGGCTCTTTTTTACAGGGTGACTGAAAATGAGAGTGTCAACAAAATGTCTTTGCACAACTTGGCCACTGTTTTTGGACCCACTTTGCTTCGACCTTCTGAAAAAGACAGCAAAATCCCATCGAGTTCCCAACCCATCTCCATGAATGACTGCTGGTCCCTTGAGGTTATGGCTCAGGTACAATCCATACTAAAATAGCAAAACAAGTTAGTGTTAGATTTGGAGTATTTGTACATGTTGTGTGTTTTCTTTTAAGGTCCAAGTCCTTCTCTACTTCCTCCAGTTGGAGAGCATTCCAGCCCCTGACAGCAAGAGACAAAGTCTCCTGTTTTCCACAGAAGTATGACAGGAACCGGAAGGAACTTTCTCATAATGATCTACAGAAGGAGTATCAGCCTGTTTTGTGCAGCCTTGCATTTACTTTTGTTAGCCAGCAGGAGGCACCACTACCCTCTAGAAAACTGGAAGACACCATTATCAAACATGCTCTGTTTATGTCATTCTGCTGTGTCAGTAAAAGACTTCCCTGAAGATTTATAAGTGAAATATATAATTCCATTTTTATTTAATTTAGCTAAGGAAGAACTATTTACAGTTCTTTGTTTTATTCCCTCACACTGTTTTATGCAGTTTATCTCCAAATTTACACTGGAGTTTTGTTTATATGTCTGAAATTTATCTGATTTATCTGTTGCTGTGGATGGTTGGATCAAGATAGATTTTCCCCAACCTCCCTCCAAAAACAGTTTAGATTCACCTGTGCCAATGTTTTTTCCAGATAATGACCAATAGAGCTAGAGCTTTTCTTTTCCTCATTTGTTTACACGTTTTAAACTGTATAAGAACTACAACTCTACTCAGCACATGTCAACATGCAGGCATGTTGAATTAACCAGTGGAGGTTTTGTTTTGTTTAAAACTATCGTTTTCCTGCTTTGTTTTTCAGTGCTCAGATGAGCTACAGTATCATTTTACTGGTACATAGAGTTTTAAGGCGAATCATTCCAGGAAATCTACCCAAACTCAGCCTAACATAGAATGTGTACCATGCTTTATATATTTTCGATTACATGTCTCTCTTTTTGTCCACAGTCCATAACAGTGTTCACTTTCTCAGATTTTGTCTAAAAAATGTATTCAGCTAAACTTCTTATATTGCTTTGTGCATTCCTTCGTAGTCTGCCACAGCTGTAGAAATAAGAGCACTATCTGCAAACACTAAATATTTATCTGTAGGACAATCGAAATGCAGCAGTTCCCTCAAACCACCCTAGCAATGTTGGGGATTGTGTACACCCTGTGCTTGCAGGTTTTATTCCAGCTCTTTACAAATAGTTAAAACAAAAACTGTAACCTTAAAAGTTCCTGATTCAAGTCAAGCAATGTTTCTTAGTGATGCTTATAGATTTCTATTGTACAGTATGTTTGATTTATGTAAATAAAAACTTCTAAATTTTATTTTAATTTTTTCTGAATTAATGAATAAACAACACTGTGGAGAACATTTAGGCCTGAACCCATAATAAAATAATATAAGTGTCAACTCTCTCCTCTAAAATTACTGTCAATTTCCACCAATATATGGTAGCAGTTCCTAGCCAAAATCGGTAGGCTGACTGACTGATCACCACACTTTTGAACCATGATCCTCAGAGACCATAATTTTTTTTATTAACCACAAATAATCCTTTTATATTTACAGTAAATCAAATATGTAATCTATTGAAGTAAGAAAGAAATATATATATTTTTTATGCATTTAGCTGAATCCAAGGGGCTTAGCACACAGAGTATAAGTGTTGAAATAAGATGCTTGTCCTGTAATCATGTCTTCACCAATGCAGGCTTACTATGAAGGAAATGTTTTTCTTAACTGGAACCCATGGGTAGAATGCAGTGTGGCCCCTGCTAAATGGTTGGCATGCATTTAACAGATCAGGACACAGACTGGCCTGTGTCCTGATCTGGAGAGAAGGGACTGAAGAGAACTGAAAAAGCAGGCAAAGCAACATCCTTCTCAGGCATCATCCAGCTCTGCCTGATGCCTTGAACTGCTTCTTTCTATGTTCCATCCCTGAAAGCGCCAGAAAGAACACTTAGCTCATCTAAGAGCTGCATCAAGTGATCTCCACCTTAAGGAAGATGAACATCAAAAAAGCTGCAGGTCCAGAGATGGTGTCAGGTTGGATCCTAAAATCAAGTCCTGATCAATTTGCAGGATTTTTTCCCTGTGAAGCCTCAACCTCCACCTGGTGCTTTCCATGGTTCATATTTGCTTAAAGTTCTCCATCGCTGTGCCTGTACCCAAAAAACAAAACATTTCCCTCAGTGAGTACTGTTCTGTTGCTCATATCCCAGTCATCAAGTGCTTTTAGAGGTTCCTCCCAATGTCCAAAGTACCTTGACAGCCTGCAGTTTGTTTACATGTAGAATTGCTCGACTAATGATAATGTTTCATTAACATTTCACACAGTTCTGACTCATCTGCAGCATCTGATGTAAGGATGCATTTTATGGACTTAAAGGTATAGAGGATAATCTTTCATTTCCAGGTGGATCATCAAAATAAGTGGTCATCCTAATTGTCAAACATTCTGATGATATGTTTACTTAAAGCCGTCCTACGTGGTGGTCCCAGTAGCCATCTTTTTCTGCGCATGCGCACTTTTAGGCGTATTTATCTGGTAATCTATGGTTTCAGACAGTCATTGAAGCTCATCTTTGTCACCGCAGTTAAAATGGCCAAAGAAAAAGTGTATGAGAAGAATGAAAAGGCCTCAGAAGAGACAGATATATCCTTGCTTTTCATGGAGAGCTCTCCTCGCAAAGCATTATTGGATTTGCTGTCACAGGAGCCCCCCTGTCACTGCCTGACAGCGGCGAATAATAACAACGATGGCGCAGTCTCCGCGCAATGGAGGAGGACTTACGTGACCAACGGAGCAAAACGCTGTGATCATCTGTCCGTACGGTCAGTTAACTGAGTTTCCTATAAAGTCAACTACATGTATATAGTCCCTGCTCTACATAGTAATTGAGGGATTCAGGGATTAGGGCGGACATTCGGGCACAGTAAGCTTGTATGAGCTATGAGAACAACAACTTTTAAACAGAGCGTGCACAAGGAGAAATGGACTCGTGCATGTCCTCACGCACACATTTTTTTTTTAAGTGGAGAGGGCAGGCCTTTTAAAAAAGGCTCATGAAAATCCTCTGACTCTTGTTGTGCAAAATGATATCCTGCAGATAATGAATAAATGATTAACCAGAACTGGAGTTATAGTTAATTATTTAACTTATTCAAAATCAGAGGTGAAGTGTTCTTAGTTGAATAATTGTAGCTCTAATTTGCCTACTTACCAGGGTTTATGCCTTTCCCTTCTTGATGGTTCCTGGACCGGCTGCTAAAATCCAGGTATCCACCAATTTAGTGACCTAGGCTAGGTTATCAGAGGAGCTATTAATTATCAAAGAACTATTTGTCTTTGTTTATTCACACTATTACCAAAACAGGGTGGATCTGGCCTGAGTGATAAACCATCCGGGTATGTATATATATATATATGAATCACAAACCACTGCAAGTTAAACAATGACGTCTTTATTCTCATAATTCAGGATTACAGAAATCTAACATCTATGCAAACGCTACACGCTATTAGAAAATAAACAAACACAAGATAGACTAAATGACTAGTTTGAAAGAAAAGGAGTAACACCCCAAGAGTCCGTTTAACTGGCTTCTGAGATTGTCCAAGATAGGCCAGATGGTAATACATTCAATAATGTCCATTTGGAATACCAGCAGGTATGATAATAACAACGGTGTAATTAAAACAACATAAAATACATTCAGCTTAAAATGATAAATGGTTAAAATGCATTAACAACAGCAGCAGAAGTTCGTTCAGCAAAGCGGCATAGACAGTGCTGTGTGTGTGTGTGTGTGTGTGTGTGTGTTTGTGTGAGACCCCCATTTTCATATGATGAAAGGTAGGAGGAGGGGGGAACAGCTTCCAACAATGGGCCTTAACCACGTGACTACATGTGGTTGAATGTGAGCAAACTCTCTATAAACTACCTTAAAGCAGAAAAAGAAGGAAAGGAGGATAGAAGGCAAGGAAGACAGAAATATCACTTGCAGCTTTAACAACTCACTTATTTCAACCGTTAAACCAAAGTTCTTATAACCAACACAGAATAAAATCAGCATTAATTCAAACTTCTATCTGCTTGTCTTTCACCCGAGCGCAGCACCTCAATAAAGCATCAAAAAGGAAAGTAGATGGATTTTACTTTGAGACATCTTCTAGTCCGGGAAGGAAGCGGGGGGAGGAGGAAGGGGGCACACGGTTCAATCTCAGATCCATGAGGGGTCCGTCTCACCAAGGGTCTGTTCTTGAAAAAGCCAGTTAAGTCGGTTTGATGCTACAGCAGAGGACTTGCTTCCCCCTGCCGATAGGCCGTGATGTCTGTAGCTAAGTCCTCACAAAGGGGGAAAATTCACACAGCGTTCAGCTCTGGAGAATCCCTGTCTCACCCAGTTCAGCGGGTGCTACTGTATGCACGATGTGACACTGCGATTCGTAACTTTTGATGCAGGAAAACAAAAGCTACTTCCAGTGAGCTTTCTTTTAGCATTTCACGTGAAACTGGTCTCTCCTTACAGGTGTGGTAACCCAGGGGGAAGAGGCCGATTGATCTCGCGCTCTGACTTTTAAACCCTGAATGTCGTAGGCGTATTTCCTGTTGAAGTTTCAGCCTGCTAGTCAGCTGATTGGTCCATGCGTGAGCTGACTTTTTCTTTGGCTGGAAGTTTCCAGACGTTCTTTGTTCTCTTTGTGCAAAGAAAGGGGGATGGTTTGAAATGGTTCATCCAATTGATTTGGGCTCCATTTTGGCAATATATCCCGACACTCTTAACACTGGCTTACCACAAGGCAGTGTTTGCAGTCCTTCCATCTTTGCTCCCTTGACACGACTGTTTTGCTATCTACAAAGCATACATGATGTTGTTCATACCCAACAGTGACGTGACCCCAGACAGAGAAGAGACACAAAGCCTGACACTGGTGCTCCAGGGATACCTTTATCCTGAACACAAGTAAGACCAAGGAGTTCAAACTGGATACAGGAGATTCAGATTGAACATGCTCCTCTCTGCATGTAGTTGTGAAGCATGTGGACATCAGAAGGTTAGTGGCTATTCACATTTCCTTTGACCTCTACTGAACTGAGAACAACTTCCTACCTAATAAAGAATGCCCCAAAAATGGCTCATCTTTCTCAGGAAATTGAATTGCACTTGACTCTCTTCTCAGCTGCTCATATGCTTCTATAAGGCCACAACTGAAGCAACCTGTGCCTTAGAGTGAACGTCGGGTATGGTAGCTCCATGGTACATGATAGGAAGGAATCAGTCTGTGTTGTGGGGGACAGCCCTGTGGATTGCAAGAGGCCCTCTACAAGATTTAAACTTGGTTTAAGCCGCTGAAGTCCAGGAAAGGGGCCTGTGTGTTGGGCCAGGCAATGCACTGCTTGTCCTACTTCAATCAGGATAAATATACAGGAAGAGTAAATTTGAAACAGCCTAAAGAAAAAAGGTTTATTTCCTAAAGGAGTGAAGGCAATCGTCTCTCTGTAGTGCACAGGTGTCAAACTGGTTCCAGAAAGGGCCGTGTGGCTGCTGGTTTTCTTTCCAACCAAGCAGTAGCACACCAGACTCCATTCATCTCATCAAAGTGAGTCTAGTCTTAACCTGATGACTTGATGGGATGAATGGAGTCTGGTGTGCAACTGCTTGGGTGGAAAGAAAACCAGCAGCCACACAGCCATTTCTGGAACCAGTTTGACACCCCTGCTGTAGTCAGACACTCACCCAAACAGACTAAAACTCAGCTAGTTTGGCTATGAGAACATTAGTTCCTCCATTTTTGGATCAGGTTTTTATTTTCCTGATGTTTAAGCCTCTGGCTTGAATGCTGTGAAATTGGAAGGATTTTTACAGACTTTTTTCACCTTTTTGGATTATAATGCGCAACCATAGCAAATTACTTTTTTTTTTACACCCAGTGGCAGCTAATTAACATGTCCAAAGCTTAAATAATACTTCAGCTACAGTACTTCCGCAAGTACCAGCTGAGTTGAAAAGGAGGTGCCATGGATGCAAGGAGGAGAGTGAGGAACAACAAATTTAAACCACCTATTTAATCAGTCATTGTGGGCAATGTGAGATCTTTAGGAAACAGTTAGATGAGCTCCAAACCCTAGCAAGAAACCTGTTAGAATATCGGCAATGCAGCATGTATTATGTGTTTTACTGAAACGTGTCTGCAGAATCTCAGATTCCAGTGTCTCTGCTTTCCGACCATACCAGCAGACAGAGATTTAAAGAAGACTGGAAAACTCAACGGCGGTAGGTTGGTAGTGCTTGTGAACAAGAGATTACTTTTGAGTCAATGAATAAACGCAACCAGCAAACAATCTGACTTTATCATCAGGGTGAATTTTCTTTGTAAATTGCCTTGAAATGACGTGTTGTTGAATTGGCATTACATAAATAAACTGAATCGAAACTGAATTGAATTTGTCACTAGTGCCAAGATGTTGAACTGTTGTGGCAGTTGGTTTTTGGCCATATTTTGACCTTTTCCTGGGAAATTCAGATCACAGTCTTTTTTTACTGTGCTCCGACCGCAAGCCTCTTTATAAGAGACAACCTGCATTAAAAAGAGCAGCAAGAAGATGGTCACGGGAAGCTGAAGAAGCCCTGCAAGGTTATATTGAGACTAAAGACTGGGATGCACTGTGTCAGCCAAATGGAGAAGACATCAATGAAATGACTGAGCGTGACCAATCCCAAGTGATCTGAAGCTATTGCTTACTAAGAAAAAACAAGCACTCAAGAACTTTTTGCAAATCCAGCCCCTTATACAGGTCCTTCTCAAAATATTAGCATATTGTGATAAAGTTTATTATTTTTCCATATTGTAATGATCAAACATGAACATACATATATTTTAGATTCATTGCAAACTAGCTGAAATGTTTCAGGTCTCCTATTGTCTTAATATGGATGATTTGTCCTCCCCTTCCAATAAAATTGAAAGGACAAGCAGTCACTCCCATTCCCTTCAAGTCCAAATGTAGGCATAAAATTCACCACACTACAAAGTTATACTTTTTCTCTGGAATAGTAATTCCATAAAATTCATCCGTTGGTTGAGCCAAAGATCTAAAAATGTGGGTTTTGTTTATAAAAATTGTTCATATTCCACCGTCATCATCAAATAGCTTAGAAAAAAGCTTATTCTGTCCCAGATTAGATGATTCAACTTTGAAGACTGGAGACATATAGGAAACCAGACTTATTGTTCAAACATGGTCCTCAGTAGTGCTTGGGAAAAAGGGTACACACGTACAACATCCCGACACCTCCTCCTCCTCCTGGAAACCAGCTTGATCACAATTGCTATGGTATTTCCTACATTCCACAATTAGCATTTGTTGCAACACAACCAGAGTGGTTGCATTGGTCACCCTGGAATGAAGATAACCCCACAACTGTTCACACCAGTGCTCCGAACAAGGGAGGTCAGAACTGCAGGCACTGGTATATTGGCAGACAAATTTTGGTTAAAAGGAGTTGAAATATTAAAATGACCTTTGGTTTGGGAAGCTCATCTAGGATTTTCCCTCCATTGTTATATTTTGGTCATTACTGATCAGTGGTGTCAAAAGTGCACACATTTGTTACTTAAGTAGAAGTATAGATACTAGTTTAAAAACATTCTGGTAAAAATTGAAGTATCAACTTGATCTCTTTACTCAAGTAAAAGTGAAAAACTATGTGCTCCAACAACTACTTAAAGTATAAAATTATAAAGTAACCTTAAAAAAACTGTCAGATGCCACTATATGAATTGAAAGCTCAATTTTTTGACTATTTCGAAAAATGATTTGAGATAGGGCCAAGGATGAGGGAGGTCTTCTTGGTCTCCGTCTCCATCTCTGATACGCTCTCGCCTGTGTCTGACCTTTAAGACATTTAGTGTTTTTCTGAATCCAGCATTGTAGCATGGCATAGACAATTCGCTTTTGCAGTGTGAAGAACACCTGCTTGCTTCTGATGATTTCCATTGGCTAACCAATGAGTGTTTGCGTTAAATGACTCATCCAGTTACACTAGTTTTCACTAGATGTGGATGGAGCCAATGATCTGCAAATATTTATAAACATTAAACCGAGGCCAAGAGTAATGAGTAACATTTGTTTTAAAATGTAAGGAATAGAAAGTACAGATGTGTGAAAATGTAATGAGTAGAAGTCAGAAGTAGGAAGAAAAATAAGTAATGGAGTAAAGTATAGATACCTAAAAAATGTACTTAAGTATAGTAACAAAATATTTGTGCTTCGTTACTTGACACCTCTGTTAATGATATAAGAACTTGTTTTTGGAGAGGCTTATTCACACTATCACAATGCCTCCACCAAATGCAGTTGGAGCATAAAAGGTTTTTTTTTCTTTTTATACTGAACAGGGAAACCCACATGCATTTTCCTTACAAATGTGGCACCTGTTTCAGGAAAAAATACACTGCCATGGTGGATTTATTGCAGAGAAGTATTGCCACACAAAAAATACCTTAAAACGACAAATTCTCTATTTTCATACCTTAGTCTTTAGTATTTTATTATATTTTGTCTTTAGTATTTTAGTATTAGGTTCATAAATAAATTATAGTTTTACGTTTATTTCTATTTATTTTTGGTCTTACTCTGTCCTTGATTTAGTACATTTTAATTAGCCTGAACTTTGTCAGGCTTTATGATAATGGTGTTTGAGCCCCTCCTGTGCAGTCTGATGCTGAGCTGATGAAACCAGGGACGGGAAGGGAGGGGAGGGGGTCAGAAGAAAAAAACAGCCGAAACACCGATGCTGCCTTCTCCAGTTGCTGGATCTGTTGACTGTCCGGAGCTGTTAATGGATCTCCATCAGGCCTTAATCAAAGTTTGAAGTTGAAAAGATTAGAACGACCAAAGGTATGGTTTTCAATTTTTATCAGTTTGCTGTCAAGAAGCCTGTCTTTTAGCCCTGGCTATGCTAGCCATGCTAGCATAATATTAGCATTAACCACCAAAAGTTCTCTAACTAACTTAAAATAAGAACCAAATCCCAGCTGTAAAATTCAACAAAATTTATTACAACACCCTGGTTTCATGTCTGTAGCTTTTATAAAACAAGAAACATTGATTATTATCTATTAGAGGGGTTCTTGGTTCAGCTGTCAAGTTAGCTAATTCATTTTTGAGTAATGCTGAAGAATTTCAGAATAAGTGCGTGATATTGTCACGTAGCTTCACCATGAGTTGTATGTGGAGTATGAGATCTATTGTGGAATTCCAACTATGCCTTGAAGGCAGCCTGGTTGAACCCTTTGTTGATCTTTGCTGTAAAATTAGTTTAAAACTTAACATTGAAAGGTGGTGTAAATGGTTTTTAGCTGCTAGTCATAGTGCCTACGTACTATGTGCTATATAATTGTCATTTATGCTTTTATTGTATTTGTATATTATAGTTAGACGTTACTGTTATACTTTATGGAAAATGTATTCCCAAGTTTGCTTACGTGTCTCGCTTCATGCTTTTGTTTTGAAAGCTGTAAAACAAACAGGAAGTTGATAAGATCCTGCCTCGCGGGAGAACTACATACTGTAGCTGATGGTTATATCCTTTATTTAGGGTTACCCAGTGGTTTACTATACCAGGAGTGACCCCGTTTTCTTTCCACATAATGTGTGCACCAGTGAAGATTAGCGAGTTATTCGTTTTGCTTCGGTTCTTAAGGAGTTCAACGCTGTTCCATTCAGATAGACAGTGTTTACACCGCGGGCAGCGTCATCAAATGAGAGAAGCTGTAGCGAAGTTGACATCCCACCCACGTGAAAAAAAACCCTCAGAAAATTTGACTGAAGATTTTGTGCTCCGTTTGTAAAAGTTTATGAAGTCGAAATAGCCATTAAAAATGATTAAAACATAAGTTGTGCCCACTTTTGTTTCAGAGATGATAAAGATTGTTTTTGGTCATCCAGAGGTCACCATCCTCCCATTAAGGAAGTAGCCTACTTTGGTTGGTTTTACTTAAGTGCAGATGTGTGCAATCAAAACTGTTGCTTGTGCTGTTTTAGTTTTTAGCATTTTTTAAGTTAGGTGGAGGACTTCACCATTTGACCAGAACTTGGTGTTGCGCTCCTTTTCTAAATATGTTACTGCATAACATAATATGGCATTCCTTTGCTTATACTGAATTTAACCTTTATTAGAATTTAGTCTGAGGAATGATTGTTTCACATTTTTAGTTAATCACTTCCCGGGTGTTACCCCTGGCAACTACAAAGCATTTCCCATTAATATTTCGTTGTCGACACTTCATAATAAAGGCATGGGTTAAACATAACATTAAAGACTGCTGCTAAATTGTTCTCTATGCCAAACCTTCCAATCGGCTTGAAGAGACCATGAATTTTGAAAAAGCCCTGGAAGCACAGAAAGGAGTAGTGTGCTTCTAATCATAGGTTAGCCTGGTAAACTTGCCCCACCCGTCAGCGGCCAAAATCATTTTTGGCTGTGAGTTGGTCTACCCTCTATCAATGCCCCAGGCCCTAGAACTGGCTGGCTAATCATAACGCAGAGATATGTTTTGAATATTTGGATGCAAATCGGTCGGGGTTTTGAGGGCGTGACGACAAAGCTGCGCCACGCTGAAGAAAGCACAACAAGGAAGATGACAACTATTGAACAGTTCTCGTTTGACTCAGCTTTGTAAGGATTAGACTTTGGGTTTTCGTTGAATCGTGAGCAGAAAAGGGCTCTACGCTCATTCATTTTTAATTTTATTTAACCACAGTCAGTTGCGCTCGTTGGTCAGAGCGTAGCCAATAGGCACAGACGGCGGTTTTAAAGACAACGGGTTGTTCTTATCAACAATCTTCCGATGTCTCATTCATCGGGGCCAGACTAAATTGCACAGGTAATCTCACACATAGTCTGGTTTATTAGGCTAATCATTGAGAGGATCACATTAGGATTTCGCTGTACTTACCTTTAATTGTGCAGAGAGCACCCGTGCTGGGGAGAGGCAGGCACTGACCAGTGTCTGCCCTTGAGGTAATGGAGGATGCTGAATAGTCCTTCTAGGGATAAATTAAGACAGCTTTTTGAAAAGTCACCTAAAAACCTCTTCAGAGCATTCCTTGTTTCATCCTTTGTCAACATTTTTTCTCAGTATTCCATTCTTACTGAAAAAAAAAACTTAGTCTGGGCTGCACGTCTCTAACCTGTCACAACGAGTAGCTGACTGGTTCCTACGAAATGTTGGCTACGTGTTACATTAATCCACTACCATTCAAGCCATAAACTAGTTTTCCCAGTGATGTTATCCTGGATTCAGCAGACTATGGCAGGCCATTTTGATATGCATTAGTTTGACTGATATTCAGATATCATAAATACAT